GGATCATGACCTGAGCCGAAGGCAGACGCTTAACGACTGAGCCACCCAGGCGCCCGCCCATTTTTTAATCGGGTTGTTTGGGGGGGTGGTTTGTTGTTGTTGAGCTTTAGGAGTTCTTTATATATTCTAGATATTAGTCCCTTATCAGATATGTGATTTACAAATGTTTTCCCCTGTTCCTTGGGATGCCTTAACAGGATCTCTCTGGTTACTGAGTTGGGAGCAGTCCATAAGCCGACGAGGATGGAAGGCGTGGCCACTAGCCTGCTAACCGGATTACCTCTGCAGACTAGAATCTTCAGCATCACTGTTTGATGTAGTTCCCAGCTGTCCTCTTCAGATCCCATGGGCCCCTCTCTTACTCTTCTCTTGTGTCTGTCCCTGTGTGGTGCTCTCCCTCTCCTGGACTGTGGTGACATGGAGTCCCTACTCCCCAGGTTGACCGGGGAGGCGCTCTGCCTGCCCTCCCAGCTCCCGGCCCATGTCTTCTCTGTGTCGGCCTCCTGCCCCTGGCGCTGGCCCCCACAAACTGCTCAGGGCACATAATTCACTGTTCCTGGCACGATTCGTCCCTTATGCCTCTGTCATCCTCACTCCCACGCTCGGTTGTGGGAGGACTTGCCTCTTTGACCAACTGGGGAAGTCTACAGCACGTGAAAGAGCCCCATGCTCATGTCAGCGTCCTTCCTCCAGAGTGGGCCTGGCACACCCAGGGACCCAGAACACGTTTGAGTCCATGAATAAACAAAAGGCAAAGAAAGGTAGAAGATGAAAGGCAGAGACAGAGGAGACAGATGAGGCGCCATGGGAGAAGCGGTGGGGGGGGGGGCTCGCAGCTGTCCCGTGGCCCCTTCCTCTGTGTCTGGTCCTGTTTTTCATGACTTGGGGCCACCAGTGCTGCTTGCCTGCTTTTCTCAGATCCTCTTTTCCTGGCTCCCCGGTCGTGCATTCACAGTTCCTGGATGAGGCTCAGCACTGCGGCCTTTATTTCTTGTTCTTCTTTTCCCATACTTAACATAATAAAGGTCTTCTTTTTTCCTTTTTCTTTTGGAGTCCCAAAACTGAAGAGACCGTCTTTATTAAGAACATAATAAAGAACTCAAAGGAAATCGCTTTGGGGGGGGTGGGGAGGGGATGTGAAGGGAAAAGTGGCATTTCATTCTGGGAGGACTTCCCCATGTGTGGAGTTGTGCCTTTGTAAATGGATTTTTGGGTTCAGGGCCTGGGAGAGTTGTGAAGAAAACAAAGGAATGGACAGGCAGCCCCAGAGCTTCTGGGAAAGAGAGCCTTGTTTATGCCTGTTGGAACCGATTTGGTCAAGTGTTTGTTTAAAAGAGATGCCACTTGGTAAGCGACGCCTGGCTTGTGTTGTGTTCAAGAATGCTTTGATTGGCCGGGGACCCTGACACTGTTGACTCAGAAACTGGCCCAAGTGAGCGCCTGGAACCAGAGGCCCAGCACTGCCACCCAGCAGATTCTGAAGTATCTGAATATTGGGATTAGGGCTGCTGTGGTTTGAATCTGCCTGGTGGAGCCAAACCTACAATGGGGGGTGCGGGGGCGGGTGCCCCCCAGCTTCGGTTAGCATTTGTCGTCTTTCTCCTGGTTAGTAAATACGGGTTGGTCGGTTAGGCTGGGGGCTTTGCAGAAAGATGACTACAGGTGTAACTAAGTCATGGTGGTAAAACGCCTTTCTCAGACAGGTGCTAAGCCCTCTGAACGCTTAGGTTAACGTCGGCTTTCATGTGGTTTCGGCTGGGTGATCCATGTCCCTGAAGGGCCCATCTTCCATACGAGGAAATGAGGAGCAAAGCTATGGGTGGGTGGGGGAGAGTCAGGAGGGTCCAAGGATTTAATTCCAGGCAGACTGAGCACCAAGTTCCTGTTCCCCTTAGGTTGTCAGAAGTGTGTCATTTAAAAAAAAAAAAAAAAAAATCCCTTGTGCCTGTCTTCACGCCTGGGAAACCATGAGGTGTGTCATGACGCATTAAGTTGGATTAGACCTGAACTCTGGGCTCTGGTGCCTGCAGTCCCATACGTGATGGGGCTGGGCTCTGTTCTGAAGGTTCTAGATGAGAACGGCAGCTGGAACTGGCAGATTCACCGGGCACATTCTTTATGGGAACACGCACTGGTGAGTTCTGAGTTCTGATCTCAGTGTTCTCAGCATGGCATTCATGACCCCTGCATTCTTGTCCTTGGGGAGAGCAGCCTAGGCTTTGAACTTGGGCAGACAAACTAGTGGCTGCCAGAAAATTCAATATTCTCTGTAGCACCCAGCCAGCAGGTGATAACTCTGCGGAAAGAAGAACGGGAGGCCTCATGTGAAGAGCGCCACCACTTTTGAGAATTGTCTGCATCAGCTAGGGAAGGAGGTGTCTGAAAGAAACGGTGGGGAGAATGTTTCTTGGCAAAAAGACACGTTCGAGTGCCCTGCCTTTGTGTGTTTCAGGCAGCACAATAAGATCCGCAGTGTGGAGGGAAGTCAGCTGCAGACTTACCTTTCCTTGGAGGTGCTGGACCTGAGCTCGAACAACATCACGGAGATCCGGAACACCTGCTTTCCGCACGGGCTGCACCTAAAGGAGCTGTAAGTGCCCTGCGCTGCCGTCGGCCCCCGGTGTGGACGCAGAGTGCGTGTTTCCCTCCCCACCGTGCCCGGGCTGAGTCTGGGGGAGTTGGGCATGTGCCTTTGGCTCCCCTCGGCAGGGCAGAGGGCGGGGGACCCCAGTCCACTGTCTTCTGTTGGCGCATTTGTAGAGTATTTCCTCATAGAGCAGCATTAGTCTGACTGCAGGGGTGGCTGCTGAGGCAGGGAGAGGCAAAGGAGTCTCCCAGACCTGCCACTTGAGAGGGGCAGCTAGCCCTCGAGTACAGATGCAGCTTGAGTACGAGGCCTGGGTTCTTCCTCACTTCCTGGGCTGCCTGGCAGGAAAGCCAGGAGAGAAGGTTCAGGGGTACTTAGCAAATGGCCCCGTGGGGAGGCCTCCTTGCCGAGGCTTAACCGGTACGTGCAGATCTTTGTGGCACCACCTCCTGAAGCCTGGGATGGGGGTTCTTCAGGAGGCACGGACGCCCTTATGTGGGTTCCCAGGACCTTGTAGATCTCTGTTGGTCTGCGTCCCCTTCACCCATCCTAACAGCCCTTCTCACACCCAATGGGTGGGAGCAGGGAGGAAGAACCATTCAAACCTGTTGAGCTTACTGCTTGTTGGTAGAAAAATGTTGTTTTGGGGAAGAAACTAAAAACCCAGGCTCCAGAGACATCTTCAAATGACATGTGAGTTTTCATTCCCTGCGTCATTAATGATCCTGAGTCATTTTGGGGCTCGTTCATGAGGCTAGTTTAGGGGTTGTTTTGACCCCTCTGTTCAGGGAGGCCAAGGCCTGGCACGTGGATTTTTCCAAGACCCCAAAGAGGGGGAGCGATTTCTTTCTTAGGTTGCATCACGACACCAGAATTGGAAATGGGAGGCCCTGGCTTTTGTTATGCCAGGATGACAGTGCTGAGCCCCCACTCAGGGCTTTCCAGAGGTGTCCACTTGCCACCTGGCACTCCTTTGCTTGGGACAAAGAAACCGGCAAGCACTGAACTGAATGGCGGTGACCTCTCTCTGCACGAAAGCAGGAGGGACTTTTTATTTTGGCGGCTCCTGGCCCGTGTATCTCCATCACACAGACTGTTCTTCTTTAATGCGGGGTGTTAAGAACAAACAGTCCAGGCCCGTTGGCATGGAATCCTCATGTGCCCTGTCCTGGGCCGCTGCCTGACAGGCGAAAAATGCCTCATCCCCTTCCCGTCTCCGTGGAAGCAAACTCTCTCTGGTCTTTTCCCTTTTTGTTTTAGCCACAAAAAGCAGCATTGGTCCAGGGAAGGCGGAAGAAAAGAGGTAGTAGTGGTAACTTCTGATAGGAATAACATATTGTTCTTCCCTTTTCTCTCTGTTTTTTCTTCTTTTTATTAGTTGATAGAATGTCCGTTTTGAGGAGAAGTGCTCTTCACATACGTAATCCTATGAGTGGACATCCCATTAAAGAATTGCTTGTTGTCCAGAGGGACCCTGTGCAGATCTCCTTAACTAGTGTTTCTTTGATACACTTCAGATGATTAAAATGAATTGGCTTATACACATTTATAGGAGTGTGTGTGTGTGCATTTATAGATCTATATATAAAAAGTTGTATAGTGAGATCCACTTTAATATTTAAGGCTGGTGGGGCGCCTGGGTGGCTCAGTCAGTTGAGCATCCGACTCTTGATCAGGTCATGACCTTGGGGTCATGGAATGGAGCCCTGAGTTGGGTTCCCTGCTGAGCAGGGAGTCTGCTGGAGATTCTCTCCCTCTGCCCTTTCCCCACCTTGTGCACTCTATCTAAAATTAAATAAATAAATAAATAAATAAATAAATCTTTGAATAAATAAAAATAAATAAAATTTAGGGTTGTTTCCCTAAATTAATAAATCCGTTCTGACTTTGCCTGGAGGTTGACCTTCTGATTCCTAGGGCTTTTCTCACCAACTCTGAACGCTCACTCTTGGTTCATGGGTGTTGAGGGAATCCTGCAGGTAGCTCTGGAGATGGCCCCTCTGCACGGCCTGGCTGGACTGTGAGGGTGCTGGGGTGGAGGTCAGTGACGTTGACCCCACCCTCCAGTGGAAGGCAGCCACAGTGTGCTCTGAGCTGCAGTGAGCCTTCCATCGAGGCCTGAGGGGATGGTTCTGACACCCAAGTTTCCCGGCTCCCCCATCTAGGACTAAAGATGATAAATGTGTCATCGGAAACCCGTCCCTCTGGGTGTGTTTTAGCTTTTTCCCCCAACTCAGCCAGCGTCTGTAACAGAATGAGGAAAGCCCCCTACTGACCACTACGTTCTCTGTCCTTACCATTCCAGCAACCTGGCAAGCAACCGGATCGGCACTCTGGAGTCGGGAGCATTTGATGGTCTGTCACGGTCGCTGGTAATGCTTCGCCTGAGCAAAAACAGGATCACCCAGCTTCCAATGAAAGCATTCAAGTTACCCAGGCTGACACAACTGTAAGTATAGAAACCTGCACTTTAATTAAGGTTAGCCAAACTTTATGGAGGCCAGATTGCCCCATGGACCTCGTTCCAAGAGCGACCCCTTCCTCACCCCCCCTCGGTGAGGCTCTGCATAAACTATCATTAATGGCCCTATGGTGACACCCAATAAAAGCAAATTAGGAGCTGGGTCTGGTGCCTGTGGGCTGCCTCAGGTTGTGGAGAAATCAAGATCCACTGAGGATCTATACGCTCGTCCTCATTGGCACTTTCCAAAATGAAATGAGGAATCCTGCTGGTTAGCTGATCCTGGCTAATGCTTAGGCTGTGTGGGTTGGGGTATTTATCTTAGGGGTTTCGTGTGTGTGTGTTTTAAAGTTCTCATAAAATCTGTACTGTGGGCATTATGGTGTCCAACACTTTTTGAGCAATCTGAGAGAAAGTTAGTGTAGCCAGAGGTAGAGGTAGTGAGCAAGAGGGGGGCCATCATCTTCCTGATAAATACTACAAGGTAGTTGGTTTGGTGTTTTGTTTTGTTTTGTTTTTTAAGAAAGGATTTATTTGTTTTGTTTTTTGATATCCAAGGCAGAGTGCACTCTTAGGATGGCACAGAGTTTGGATTTAAGAAAACCTATTTCCTGGAACCCAGTGGATCATTTGCTCCCCGGTTTTTTGTTTTCCTGTGTCCTCATTGTCTCAGAAGAGGAATCTCAGGAAAATAAGCCAGTATGGGAGATTGGGTTTAAACAGAACACAGTAATTGTTCAGGGCCAGGTTTGGCAGCAAGACGGGGCGCCCCACACCCCAGCACCCTCACGCCTGTGTGTCCCTCACACACACACACTCATTCTCACACATACACACAATCACACTCACATACTCTTACACATACACACTCACACATACACTCATTTACACTCACTCTTACATACTCACCTATACACACACATACTCATTCACACTCAAACACATACTCAGTACTGTTACACACTCACACATACACACACACACACATACACCCATGCAGAAGATCTCTGGTCTCTTCAGCTCTGGAGAAGGTCTCTTGATGCTCAGGAGGTTGTGTGTGGGGCATTGTCATGAGACACTACAGAAGTATTTGGGGAAAACCAAGGGCTTTCTGGTCAGCCCTGTGTTCTCCCCTCCCCTTCCCCCAGTGTTACTAATGGACCCAGCCCCCCCCAGATTCCTGAAATCTTTTGGTGCACGGAGGTTTTACCGTGCTGGGGTTGGAAGCCAGCTGTGGGTGCTTTATGGTGTGTCAGCTCCCCGCCTCCCCAGTGTGCACTCACTCCTCTCCATCAGTAGAGACCCCATTAACGCCTCCAGTGAAAAGTATCATTGCTTTCTGCGGCCCAGTGGTCAGGTTTTTCCTGGGTTGAGGCATCTGGTGTGGATTTCTGTTGCTGAGCTAAGAGACACCTCACCTAAGACGTTCGCATCCTGAGTCGCACCCACCTCCTCACTGCAGAGTCATGGATGTTTGGGGAGGAAATGGAGCACTCAGTCATTGGGAGGCCTGGTGGGGCTGGCTTCTGGGGAACCTGCGCCCTCTTTCCTTCACAAGCTGTGGCTCAGTCCGTGTCCCTGCCTGCGTGGCGGGCAGGAGCGGCTGTAAGACAGTGGGCCCCTGCGGTACATCTGGGCTTCGCTGGGACGTCCTCAGCATGATCTTCCCTGCTGGCTCAGAAACCCGGCTGGGCCTGCATGAGAACAGGTGTAGGCAGGGAACGTGCAGCGAGGCCTCTGAACCCACTGTCTTCATCTCTTTAGGGACCTGACTAGGAATCGGATTCGCGTCATCGAGGGCCTGACGTTCCAGGGGCTTGACAGTTTGGAGGTGCTAAAGCTCCAGCGAAACAACATCAGCAAGCTCACGGACGGGGCCTTCTGGGGGCTGTCCAGGATACACGTGCTGTAAGTGCAGTGCTGGGTTCCGAGCGGCACCCCTGCTTGGCTCAGGCACCCTGGCAGCCCTGCGTGTGCTCCTTCCGCCCCCTGCCTTGAAGGATCGTGGAGGACTTCCGCCAGAGCTGGCCGCTGCCTTTGGGTCTCAGAAGGCTGGGCACCGCTCAGTAGCTTCAGTGACTTGGCCCGATCGAAGGTTCTTTTTCTTGGGAGTCAGGAAAGTCTCTGGGGGCAGTTTCCATGGGTCTGGTCTGGGAGGCAGCCTGGTGCAGGTGGGAGATGGAGCCCTTCTGCTCAGGCTTCTCTCCCCCTGCCACGTCCTCAGTGAGTAGCAGGGCGCAGAGTGGGCCCCCTCCCACAGGCCGCAGGAAGTTCCCTGGCTCCCTGTTTGGGACTTGACTGTCTGTCTGGATGTGCAGGGGGGCTCCAGTGTCGAGTTCATCCTGGGAGATTTATTTATGTGTCATGAGCTAAGCAGGCCCCTCGGTGCAGATGTCCCAGTTTTACAGGGGAGCACCCCCTCCCGCCAGATGTGCATGGGCACAGAGCGTGCCTATAGGCCGAGTCACGTAAAGCGGCGGCAGGAGGGCATGTGGAGAAGGGCAGGAAAGGCGGTTACCGATCTTCTGTTTTTAAACATTTAAATGAGCTTGTTTTCAATGGTCAGTAACGTATACTTATAACTGAGTACAGTCAGAGAGTACAGAAACGTGGCCTTGGCCTCTCTTCCCCCATTCTCTCTTTACCCCCTTCTGCTCCCAAAGGGCAGTCTCTGGTCCTCCTTTCTTGGGTGGTCTTTCCTTTTTCTTTTTCTTTTCCATTATTTTAAGTAATCTCAACACCCACCGTGGGTCTCAAACTCACAGACCCAAGACCAAGAGTCTTAGGCTCCACCAACTGAGCCAGCCAGGCGCCCCTCCTTGTTGGTTTTCCCCCCGTCTTGGTGGGTCAACTGGAGATTTGTCGTGTCACGGTCAGTGATGTAACTTGCTCAGGAACCCCACACGTGTGCACACACCCACACGCGCACACCCTCTCCGTTCCAGGCTTTACAAGTTATCACTGTGTTCATGTCCTTTGTTATCTTTGCAATGGAAACAGAAAACAGAAACTCTGTATCCTGTCTCATCGGCTCTGCGCTGTGCTCAGTGTCAGAAGCGTCTCTGATGACCCCTTCTTCCCACCTACCCTGAAACCCACACTTGCTGTGAGGTGAGGGCATCAACATTAGCACTGTGGTCTTGCTTCTCCCTCTCTTCCTGGTCCTGGGATTGGCCGCACGTCTGTTTCTATCGATTCAAAAGCACCTTTACTTGACCTCCTTAAAACTGTCGTTCTGAACTTTGAAATCCAGGTGGTTGGGTGCTGGGTGTGCTGAGAGTCAAAGAGAGTTCTCAGAAGAAAATGGAGTTAGCACGTACCCTTTGGTTTTTATGTTGAGCACATTCATACACGCTGAGGGTGATGAGTTGCCCGAGGAATTATTTATAAATGTGCTCACCTTTTGAGCAGTGGCAGAAAGTGAGAGAGATAAAAGCAAAACCTGGTTGCCCAAAGGCCTTGCATATGAACGTGGGGCAACATTGGAATTAGAGGCCAGTCCACTGGGGTCGTCCTGGGCTCGGGTGTGCAGGGTCGGGAAGCAGGGTAAGAATGTCCTCACTTGAGCACCTTGGTGGGAGCAAAACCCTCCGCACCGTGCTGAAATTCTGGCATTTTCCTGTTTGCTTCTCCTAACAGCCTTGTGAAGTTGCTACCCTTGGGTCTCTCTATCTTACCCATGTTTCAGCCCCGTTCAGCCAGTAAAGCGGCAAAACTGGGATTTAAATCCAGGTCGTCTGACCCCAGAGCTAAGGCGTGTCTCTAGACACCATGGTCCTGAGCCCTGACTTGGATAGCCAGACCTGGGTTTGAATTCTGGCCCCTCACTGCTCGCAGAGCTGTGGAATGAATTTTAGACAAGTTATCTACCTTCTCCCAGCCTTCGCTTCCATATCTCTAAGAGCAGGATAAAAGGTACCCCCCACTTTCTCTTCTTTCTCTTCCTTTTATGGGCTCAGCCATTGCCGTGCTCTGTGCTCGGAAGCCCTCTGCCCAGGGTGCCTGGTTCACTTGTATTTGGCGAAACAGGTCACTTCAAGGAAGCTTCCCCTTGCCCTCTGAGCTCCCGAGTCAGCCGGATACTCGCGGCCGGCTGTTGGGTTCACGGGTCCTCCCCGTGTCCTTCCCTGACACACGTGAGCACGCCGCCCCCCCCAGCTCTGAGACCCCCCTCCTCTCCCGCACCGTCGGCTGCTCCTCAGTGCCGACCCGTGTGGGACGCAGGGAGGCTGCCTGCGTGCAGGGCGGTCGGCGAACGAGAGAGGCCGCTCTCACGCCTGTGCGCTGTCTTTGCAGGCACCTGGAGAACAACGGCCTGGTGGAGGTGAGCAGAGGCTGGCTCTACGGCCTCTCGGCCCTGCACCAGCTGCACCTGAGCAGCAACTCCATCGCTCGCATTAACCGTGAAGGCTGGAGCTTCTGCCCGAAGCTGCACGAGCTGTAAGTGTCCCGCCGCCGCTCTGGGCAGACAGACTCCTAGACACTGCCCTGGGTGACCCCCCTGGAGCGGGAAGCTCTAGGCCTGATGGGGTCCGTGGCACCGCGGCCTCCGCAAGCTCAGACTTGGCAGGACGCTCAGAGGCAGGCAGGCCTGCAGCCTGTGTTGGGGGGAAGACGGCCCCAGGCAGCCAGGCCCAGAGCGGGACTCAGGGCTTGCAGCAGGACGCCCTCCTGATCTGCTCTCTGCACCCCTGCTTTCAGATGAGTGGGGTCTGCAGGGGTGGCCCTAGGTCCCCGCAGGCAGCCCGTACCCCTAGGGCCTTCTTGGCCTTGGAGAGGGTTTCAGAAGGAAAGCCTCCACAAGTGTTCTCCTTGCAGCTGTTTGGAGAGCTCTTGTACATTGATGGCTACACCGGTGACGTGCATGTCTTTAGTGACGAGGCTTATTTGGGCTCACACGCAGAAAGGACCGTGACCCTGAGCGATGGTGATGCCCTGACAGTGGGAGGACTGCATGTCCTTGGGGCGTCCACCTTCCTTCCCTTAGACACGTCGTCCAGGCCCTCGGCTCCTTCCCTGTCCCCGCCCGGCACCCCTGTGGCCGGGGGGCCGAGGTACCTGTGCTCCTCCCTGAATGATGTGTGGACCCTCCTCCCTTCCAGACACCCCCAGACCGGGCTCCAGGCCGGGACTGGGGATCCCAGGACCGACAGTGACCTACCTGCTTGCAGCAGGAGGGCCTGGGCCTGGTGCAGCGTCGGTGCGTCACTGGCCTGAGAAGGGCACTACCAGCCCCCCGGGGGGGCACGCCCGCACCCCTGTTTCTGACCCCCGAGCAGAAGGTGGGTGCTCTTGGAGGAAACAAGTAGCCCCTCGCCATGTGGGCTCCTTCCCTGTAATGCACTCCAGTTTAGTCCAGTGTGTTTGTGTAGGAGGGTCTGGGTGGGTTTTCTTCTTTTCTAGGCTTGACTGTAGAAGATTCGCCCCTGAAATGAATGGCTCTTCAAAGTGACAGGCCTCTGTCTTGTCTCTCTCGTGACCTCAGGAGGCAAGCAAGGCGATGTTTAAACTCAGTGTTGAGTCTTGAGGCGGTGGTTTTACCTCTTCGTCCATGTTCTCCCCACACCAGGGCACACTGGCCTGGAGTTCATACTTCAGCGAGCCCGTGATTATCTCATGTAAAAATCCATAGCCCTGCCTCTTTCCTCTTATGTACCTTCCTTGGGTGTTGTGAGTGTGTGCGTGTTAGTGTCAGCCTTGCGGGTTTGGGCTTGTGGCCCTGCACGGCAGTGTGGCTGCCTGATATTCTTATGTAGTATGGATGGCTTCTGACCAGCTCTTGGCTCAGGCCGTGGCCCCCAGGGCACCCCCAGGGCTCCTGGTTGGTTGCTGTCCAGGCCTGGGAACCACGAGGAAGCAAGAGCGGCCTCCTCCGTCCCCCGTGCCCCAGCCAGGCCAGTCGCTGGGTGAGGAGCCGTGCCCTGCCTGGCTGGAGGCTGCAGCACCCCTGGTTTTTGAGGCGGTGGGCAAGTCGTGTCCCCTGTGCCCCTGTTCAGCAGGCAGAGCATTGTGAGCTGTCGTCTGTCCCCATTACCAGGGGTAGAGGTCACAGAAATGCTTCAACCGCCTATCAGTTTTCCAGACGTCTAGGAACCTCAGAGGCCAAGTTAGGATCGCTTTCCAGCGTTTCCGGCCCCCCCTCTAAGCTAAATTCTGTAATTGCAGGTGAGGGTGTATTTTTGATCACTTGCCAGGTCTTTCCGACTGACAGACACCGTGACTTATTTCTCCAGGAGGGAAAGAACGTTACTCCCTGCCGCCTTTAAAAACTCATTAATCTTCTCAGAATTTATTTTGCTTCTTCCTGCCCCAGCCCAAATTTCCCATTTTTGAACGACAGAGGACTCATAGGCCAAGTGGCCAGCCCAGGGCCGTGTGGTGTCCGAGGTGTGGGAGGGCGTGCTGGGAGGAAGGTTTGATTCCGATGCTCGGGATGATGTGTGATTTGGGGGCGTGTTCCCTGTCCTGCTCACAGTAGGATGCCCGGGCCGGCTGGGGTGGGGGCGCAGAGACCAGAGACTGTCGCGCCCGGGAAGGCAGGAACTTCTGTGAGGCCAGCTTGGTCCACGCGGCGGCTAGTGGTGCCCTCTGCTGGCCGACATTGCAGTCTGACGGGGCTCCCTTGCTCACTGTCCGTGTCCGCTGAGGTCCGGTCCAGGGTCTCAGGCCCCTGTCGTGAGGGGTCTCTGATAGCCTGAGTCAGGACCCCCCATGGACCCCGGCATGAGGGATCGGAGCCTTGAGGGCTCTCGTGTTGGATGACCTTGTGTCGTCCTCACAGCCTAACATGCTCTCTGGTTGCCATGATCTACGCAAATATTCCAGGAGCCGAACTCTGCGGGTGTGGGTCCCTGGTGGGTTTCTAGCTGCACAAACCCTGTGGCCCTTGGGATTCTGGCGAGCCTGCCACTGTCCTGTCGTCCCACCGAGACCCTGCTGACCGTGGCTCGATGTTCAGGAGAGGGTCGGGCATGCCCGTCTTGCACGGCAGTGACGTGTGCTTTCCTTCCCCAGGGTCTTGTCCTTCAATAATCTCACCCGGCTGGACGAGGAGAGCCTGGCCGACCTGAGTAGCCTGAGCATCCTGCGCCTCAGCCACAATTCCATCAGCCACATCGCGGAAGGCGCCTTCAAGGGACTCAGAAACCTGCGTGTTCTGTACGTCATTGGCTGTGGGGTTGACAGAAGAAGGGGGTCCCTGACTGGGAAGGCAGAACAGAGCCAGCCAGCTGCCTTGTTGAATTCCCTTCTTGTTGCTCTCGAGTCAGAATTGGGTCCAGAGCTGACCCACTATGTGCAGAGTATCACACTTGCATAGAATCAACTGAAAAACTGGTTGAGCAGAGAACTGTCTCTCAGTACCCCAGGGTGGTGCCGATAGGGTGACAGTGGCTCAGAACCTTGCCATTACTTGCCGTGACCCTGGTGGGATGCTAGGGTCCCAACGCCCGGGGCAGCCTCCCGGACTGCAGCCGTGCGCTCCGTCTCTCTTGAATCTTCCCCGTGCGCTGTCAGCACACTCTGGGTCCAGGAGGCCCCATTTCGGGAGAGGCATTTAGCAAATCCTGTGTCTTTCCCTGAGCTTCAGTAGGGTCATTTAACAAAACAGAGGCAATGATGTCCAGAATTTTCTTTTAAGTTCCTTCTTAGGTGGGGTTGCCAGAAGTGGCTTCAGGATGCTTTCCTGGGAGTTAAAGTTTTTCTTCTGTTGGCTCCAGACAACTTCCAAGGCAACTCCGGGCATTCAGCCCCCAGAGAAGGGTGGATGATTTCCACCGGACAGTCACGGTGGGATGTGAAGCCTCCTTCCCGGCGTGTTCCACTGCACAGAGGGCCTGCTCTCGTGTGACAGGGAGGGAGCACTGTGCACTTGCACCTGGCCCAGAGGCCAGAGCCAGCTTCAGTGCCAGGCCATTGTTGGGCGTGTGAAAGGGCCCAGATGCCAGGCCATTAAGGCCAAGGTCAGCCAGCCTTTGAGCCCTTGCAAGGCCTGAATAACAAGGCCGGGAACATTCAGATTGAGCCAGAAAGAAGAGAAAAGCTTTGGCAGCCAGAGCGAGGAGCAGGGAGACAGGCGCACACAACGGCAGCTCTGGGCCCCCGGCTTTCAGTCTGATGATAATAAGGAGAAACACGCTGAAAGGAGGGGGCCCTTCCAGCAGCAGAATCTCGGCACTCTGAGCTTTCTGCTCTAAGATAAAGGTCAGAAGGAGCACTGCACTTCTCAGGCGGAGCTCCCCTCCCTCCTGGCAGTGCTCATTCCCGGCGAAGGCTCTCACGGGGGCTGGGAGCAGCATCCCTTTCTGCATCAGCGAGGAAGGTGTAGAACCCAGAACCGTGGGGGACGCTGGAGGGGCTGCTGGTGGGGCAGAGCGGGGGCCTGCTCACCAGGTGGGAGCCTCGCCTGGCACTGGGATCTGCCCTGGAAGCTGGGGGAGGAAGCTGAGTCATCCGCCTTGTGATCTGCGTTGTTGGAGGAGACTGGGCTGAAAAGTTGGCCTCATTCGCCAGCCCTGGCAAGTGGGTCACAAGTCTGACTCAGCGCCCAGATGTCGTCCCTGGCTCCGAGTCAGCGCCTGTGCAGGCCCTGGGGTGGGCGGGGGGGCGACTCCGGCCTCTGAACCCACTTGCCAGCATGGAGTGGCCCCAGGGAGGACCTTGTGCGGGGGGCCTTTCTTCATTGTCTCCTTCCTCGGTGTGCCTTGGGCGGTTTCTTAGTCAAGTCCAGGAAGGGGACTCTGGTCGGTGTGAGAGCAGACAGGAACCTTAACCTTTCAGGCTCATTCTCAGTATCAGTGGTCAGATGTCTGCTCTGGGGGGTGTGCGGGGTGGGGGTTGTTCTCATGTGCTATCTGCACCTTCTCCCTGCCCCTGGGCTTGCCCTACCCACGTGGGGAGCAGCCCATGGAGCTGGGGGAGCTCCATGTTTGAGGCATGTGTCCACTTTGTGGGAAGGCTGAGAACGCCAGGCCGTGCCACGAGGTGTGTAGAATGGGCTTCCCGTGGCTCGGCGCTTACACTTGTGTTGACCGTCAGTTCATTACAGCTGGGCATCTAGAATCCACCCAGATGTTTTCAGCTTCCAGGTGGCATAGGGGGTGTCCGTCTGTTTTCCCTCTTGACGTTAAAGAGAGTTGAGAACTCAGGCTGGATGGTGAGCCTTCTTTCCGTCTCCTCCCCAGGGATCTGGACCATAACGAGATTTCGGGCACGATAGAGGACACCAGTGGCGCTTTTACGGGGCTCGACAGTCTCAGCAAGCTGTGAGTATCTCCGAGCTGTAGCTTCTGTGGGGTTGGCGCACAACGGTTCTGAGGCTCCGCCACGCCTCCTTTGTTCTGGGCCCAACTGGAGCAGGGCTGGCTCGCATTTATCTTCTTCTCTTTGGGAAGAAAAGTCTGAATAAGGGAACCAAGGCATCCCAGCCTCTTTCTGGCCAGTGGTCTCCTCACTGCCCTGGACGGTGGTTTCCCTGGGGCTGAAGACTGGTGTTCGGAGGCCTGTTAGATTTTCTTTCCTGCTGAATTTGTGACTGACATGAAAACAGCTGAATTTTTTGTCTTGCTTTGCACAAAGTCTTGCCCTCTTAATTCCTAGAAACTGTGTGAGATTCTAAAGCCAAGTACTGTTCATGGTTTGGAGTCTCTGGTCAGTACTTTTGTTGTCAATCATAATGTTAAACAGGAACAATCATTACCATGAGGTAATATAATAGCTATTTTTTATTCGAGGTTTCTGGTGTTTTTATTTGCAGCTCCTAGAATTTGTCACTTACTCTGCAGAGCGTGTACGTATCTGTGTTATATCTAACAGCCTCCCGAGTGCACGTTCTATTACGCCACCTTTCTGTGGTCGAGGAAACACTGATGAAGGGATTTTTCCCCAGACCGCACAGCGGGGAGGGTCAGGACTGGCTCCAGAGCTCACACTGTTCTCCCTCGTCCCACCTGCTTGCCCTCCGCCTGTCACCAGCCCTCCCTGCATGTGCCCCCCAGGGAGCCTCCAGGAGTGAGGACAGGAGCGGCCGTGACCACTGAGTAGCGACTCGGAGGGTTTCAGGCGGACAAGAAAAGGCAGTCACACTCCATCTCCCCAAGCCTGTTCAGGTGACAGGGTGAGCAGAGTGTGAGTGTCAAGCAAATAGCTCCAAAGCAGCAGTGGAGTGTGAGGTTCCGGGAGAGCCTGCGGCAGGGGGAGTCTCTCTGTAGAGCTTTGCACTGATGTTGAAAAGCGTGGTTTTTACACACCTTTTAGACTCAGAGTTCTGAGTAAGAATCCACTCTCTTGGCTCTCTCACGGTTCTCTCTTCTTGAGCATTGTGTATTCAGACAGCATGTTAAAAAGTCTGTCAGTCTTCCTTTTCCTTCCCTAAAAAAGCACTCCCTCCTCCCCGCTCCTGGCCCCTGTACCTAGCGAGCCTGGAAGAGGCAGGAGGACTGAGGCGGAGCTGCTGGGGCAGGGCACGAGCCTCACTCTCCAACGCCTGCCTCCACCCTAACTCATGGATGGGGGGCGGGGGGCGGGGGGGCTGCAGTGGGTGGCGCCACCAGGGCCTGGGGGCTGGGGGGTAGGTCCCTCCGGTGGAACCTGAAGCCACTTCTTGGGTAGTGTGGCTTCCAAGAGGCCCCAGCGTGTGAGTACAGGTGGCCCCAGGGTTCTGCAGAACGCAGCCTGTGCCTGGGGCTGCCTTCGCGGTCACTGTGGTCTGTTCCCCTGTGTTTTCTCTTTCTTCGACCCACTGGACTAGGTTCAGCAGTTCTGCCTGAAGTCCTAAGTCCATGCACCTCACTCGCCCTGTGCTGTTGGACACAGGCTTCCTGAAGGCGGTGCCTTCCACACTGATCTGGTCCCGAGACTGCGGGGACCTCATTAGAATAGGGCCATCTCTAGCCTCCTCCCACCCAGCCCCGCTGATCAGAGTCTTGGGGCTGGAGGCTCTGTCCGTGTGTCAGAATAAAGGCAGGGAGCACACAACTGGGGGAAATGCGGACAGGAATTGCTTAATATGATTAAATCTATGCACTTATTTAGACGGAATGGTCTCCTGGTTATGTTGCAAAAGAAAAAAAAAAATCCTCTTCTGGGATGAAAAAACGGAATGGCGTGGCGCCTGTGACCTGGATCCCCGTTCAGCCAGCCGGGCTGGGCAGGGGACACAGCAGAGGGGGAGTAAGACTGGTGCCTTTGGGTGATGGGTGCAGCCGTGTAAGGGGCACCTGTGGGGTTCATGACGCTCCGCCACCTGCCTGTGGTGGTATGTGGACTCCTCTCCATTAAAGGGGAAAAAAGGAAAGCCTACACTTTCCTGTGGTCCTGGCGCCCTGCTCTGGCTAAAAGCCACTCCACAGGGTGTGTGGAGGGTGTAGAGGAAACGCTTAGTGAATTTGGGGAAGGAAGGGGCCAGCGCTGCCTGGCTCTCCTCCCCACTCAGCCTCCTCCGAGCACCGCCTGGAAGCTCCGCTGCGCGGCCGTGGCAGGGAGCCGTGGCTGGGAGCCATGGCTGGGACCCTGCACGGCCCCGTTCAAACAGCTGGTGGCCAGGCGCTGGGACCTGTCAGCAGTCGAGATTGTGTTCGCACAGAGAAGGGCTGCCTGTCTAGAGCCGTCCCGTCATCCGGACTTCTTCGCCCTGTGGGGCTGCGGACCCTACCGGGTCCCTCTGACCCGGTGCCGGCTTGCCTTCGGAGCACGTGTGGGAAGCTGTTCAGGGACCTCCCCGACAATGCGAGGGGAGAAATTCCTGCCTTCGCTCCGTTATTCAAGGACCTGGGGTCCTTCCTGCCATGCAGGAGGCCAGAGCTAAATGAAAAGCTTTTCCGAGAAAGAACAGGGGAGCAGCAGAGCCGTAAGAGGCTTCCCTCTGGGTGGAGGTGGTGGGTGCTGCCCTGCCCCTGATTTTCCCACCTGCTGAATACGGCCGTATGGGATAGTTCTTCAGTCTGGAGCCTCCTGGCAGGGCCCACGGAACGTTACTGGCTCTAGCGAGTTTCCGCGAGGTTCCCGTTTGCCTATGATCATTTTGCTTACCCCCACAGCCCCTGTCGTCCTGTTGATGGAACACTTCCCGGGGGGCTGCACAGGGTCCTAGTATGTGCGGAGGCAGGGAGGCTTTCTGGAGCACAAACTAGCAGCAGAGGGGGGCAGTTAGTCACCTGTGTATGGGGGGTAAGGTGAGGGGCTGCCCCATGGTTCTAGCTCTCTCCGTGGCATTCCCCAGGTAAGGGCATGGTGTGCGCAAAGGGGAGTGTTGGGGAAGACATGAAGAACTGGACCGTGACACCAAGCCTCTTGACCCCGGTGAGATGGGGGGGGCCTGGGTAGGTGCTGCCCCCGCCTGGGGAACGTTGCCCCTGCGTGTCTTCACAGAGCGACGGCCGGGCCCACAGGGTGCTATTTGTTGTCACGGGTAAGGGGTGGGGGTCAACAGGTCATGGTTTCTCTGGGTCAGTACAAGGACCACCTTAGCACTCCCCCGGCGTCTGCAGGGCTGTGTTAGCAAGACCTGGAAGGCCTTTGGGAGCACTTAGCCATGCATAGGAGGTTGGATGGCTGACTTTTGGGGTCACTCTCTACTCCGAGGGGGGTGGGGGGCATGGGGCCAATCAGGCCTGCAGTCCCTGCTCTGGGAGCCCCGGATCAGGTGCAGCCCACCCTCAGCCACTCACTACCCTGGGGACAGAAGGAGCCTCCCCCTGGCCCATGGGCCCGGTTTTCCCCTCTCCCCACAGCCCCCCTTTATTGGAACCGGCCCAGCCTGACAGCTTGAGCCCCGACCCCCAGATGTCCGCCTGGAGAATGTAAGGGGCTAATTTAGTCCACCAGCAGGATGGTTAACCCCCACATAATTGCGAATTTGTTTTATTGCTATTGTTACCGTTAGAAATAACCGTCTGCCCGCACTGTAAGAGAGGTCATTGTGACTAAGACGTCACGAAGGAAACAAAGCCCAGCTTTTTCCTGCATCTAGTTGACGGGAGAGTTCACTAAACAGTTAATATGTGTTATAGGACCTGGAGCACAGTGGACCGGCCTGGGGGACGCAGGAAGTGAGAAGGTGGCCGGCACCCCGAGGGCCGGTCTTTGCAGGGCTGGCTCCGTGGTTCAGGAGCGGAGTCGGTGCGGCTGGCGGATTTCCGCGTGTTTGGGTTGTTTTAGAATAAAGGCCTCCGACGGCGAGAGCGTGTGGAAACTCTTTCGGAGGAGGAGACTGTTTCCACATTCACAAAGATTGAAAAGTTAAAGGGTCCCTGGCCCTCGTGCCCCTCCGTCCTCCCAGCGGCTGGCCGGGTCTGAAGCTGAACTCAGAGCCGCTGGTCGGCTGCTGGGTGGGCGGCGGGGAGGAGGCCCCGGGGCGGGGGGGGGGTCTGTTCCTCATGAAGTGGGGGGACCCGGCAGCTCACGTGCTTGCCCTGTAGGTGTCCCCTCGGGTTTTCGGTGCCCGAGCGTGGGGGTGGGGTGGCGAAGCACCTCCTTCTGTGGCTCGTGGCGCTGGCAGGGCCTGTCCGCATGTGATCTCATCTTCGGGAAGGTGCCCCAGGAGCCCTGCACAGTTGCTGGAAGCTCAGGGCCCGGGGGCAGGGCCCACCCGTCTGCCCAGCCATCTCTGGTTTCCTTCCAGGCTCCTATTTCCTTTGCTCCTTTCAGGGCGGGACTGGAGCTTGCTGTCTTCATGCAGGTCTGAAGGTGGAGCTGGCCCCCAGCAGAGATCTTTCTCTGGTTCTCAGTGGGCTCCCAGACAACAGCCGTGCTCTTCCAAGGCTGCCTGCCGTGCCCACCTTAGGAAGCCCTCCCTCCCAGGGCTGGGGACTCAGACTTCGCAGCAGCCCCCACTCCCAACCAGCCCTTTAGATGATGCTGCTGGGCGTCAGGCGGGAGAGCCCACGTATCTGTCTGTGTGACCGTGGGGTGCTCGCTTGCAGGGGGTTTCCTGTGCCCGCAGGAGTGCAGGGAGTCCGGCTGGGCTGTCCTCAGAGTGTCGCATAGGGAGGAGAGAAAACTGGAACCTTAGTTCTTTTCATTCCCAGTGTCCAGCCCACTCTTGGTGCTCCCTCCCCGCCCCCCCCCCACCCCAACAGACTTGCGTTTGGATGACACAGCCCTGCAGAAGCAGCATTCATTCATTCCGGGTGAACTGCAGGGGCGCAGATTTTGGTTTCTGGGAAAACTCTGGGTAGTTACTGTGGAGGTTGTGATTGGAACTGCTTGGAAGTGGGAGCCCCTTCTCAAGGGTAGGCAGTCCAGGGGTACAGGTATTCGATAACCTTAGAGGTTGACCTTTGAGGACCTGTCTGGGATTTAATGAACCTCGGGCATCATTCACAATCTGGGCTCAACAGCAACAACAACAAATCTGGGCTCTTGCTTAAGAGGCCAGAGCGCAGGAGCCTGCCCTTCCACACCGAGGGGCCTTCCCAGAGGCAGGGGCAAGCTCACAGGGGCCACCTCCTGGCTACTAGGGGTGCGTCTTGGGTGCAAAGAGCTGGGGAGCCATCTTGATGGATGACCATTTTCCTGCCCTCTTCTTGCCTCCTTTGGAAACCTTTATCCCCAGTTTCCAGAAGTGGGTGGGAGATTTTAGTTCTAGAGATTGCGTTCCCTTCCATGACTCTGCTTCCTCTCAGTAGAACAGTGATCAGTCCCCTCTTTCCCATGAGGCCCTTGGGTGGTCCCGCAGAGACAGTCCTGGCTGGACAAGGGGATTTCCACTGAACATCGCAAGGAGCTTTTTCAGGCGAGACGGTGCATGCAATCGCAACCTGTCATCACTGTTAAATTCTCATAAAGATAAAAGTATTTCATTTCAGAAAGGGGGAAGGCCTGCATACTTCAGATCCGTAATCTGAGTGCAGGTCAGATTTCCACCTGCCCCTCACAGGACAGACTTGTCAGATGGCATTGCCCTAATTGTGTGTTCTCTTTCTCCCATTCCTCCCTTGTCTCTCCCCCTCTGGTTTTGTTTTTTGTTTTTTTGTTCTTTTTTTTTTCCCTCTGTCTGGATGTTTGGAAATGGCAGAACTCTGTTTGGAAACAAGATCAAGTCCGTGGCTAAGAGAGCCTTCTCGGGGCTGGAAGGCTTGGAGCACCTGTGAGTATCTTGCCAGACCTTCCCTGACCCACAGGCCTGCCAAATGCGGCTGCCGGGGAAGTCTGCTAGCAATTTAATCACATCTTCGTAAACTGAGAAACAGCCTATTTGGAAACACCAGCTGCTTCCTTCTCATTATAAGTCAGCTTCAACTTTGGCCTTTATTTTGCCCATGCCAGGAAGAGTTACAGAACACATGGCCAGTCAGTGAGCGCCTAATTACTGTGGCCGCTGTTTGGCTAAATACCTCCCCCTTGCTCCTGCCCTGCTCCCCACGGCACGGGCCCCTCCGCGGACCCCGGGCCCCTCCTCCCCTCGGTGCGGGCGCCATGTGCCGGCCCCGGCCGACGGCTCCACGACAGCAGCCTGACAGGGCCGAGCGCACGGTGGGCTCAGCCGGGAGGTTTTCTCCTGCCCTGGTTGCCTCTGGGAGGCTGGCACGACGAGGATGGAGTCAGCCCGGGGATGCTGATGTTCTCACCATCTAGAGCAGAGGCCTCTAGTACTTGACTCTTAGTCTGTTTTGTCTGGGACTCAAGTTTGACCTGAATTCTGTTGGGAAGGGTTTTGCCTGTTGACTTGCTGAGCGGGCCTCAATGCAGCTTTGACGCTGCCCGCAGGCTGGGGTAGTTCCGAGGTTATTCCGTGCGCTCGTGTCAGTGTCTGGGAGGGGACAGCCACGCAGAGTAGACTTGGGACACGGGGTCTGGCTAGTGCCTCTGGCACACTGGTGAAAGCAGGACTCTCCTGAAAACTCGCTGAGCCTCTTGGCCCAAACACGTGGCTGACTCAGGGTGCCCGGCGTCTGCCTGCGTAAGTAAAGAGTGTTCTTTTGCAGGAACCTTGGAGAGAATGCAATCAGATCTGTCCAGTCTGATGCTTTTGTGAAGATGAAGAATCTCAAAGAGCTGTAAGTACCTGGGATTCCACGGCCCTGGTTAACATGGCAGAGAATTCGGGGTGAGAAATGCCTTAATTCCATGATGCCTTGATTTATATACTAGATGGGGCCGTTTATATCTGTGTGTCGGCCCGTGGGGGCGGCTTCTGGATTAGGGTCAGCACACCTTGTCTTAAAGGGTCACACAGTATTGTCAGCGTTTGGGCCACAGCGTCTCGGTCACGGCCGCTCTGCTGTCGTCACAGAACACAGCCATCCATATACACGAGTGCACGGGCGTGGCTTGCACCGCTAAACTCTTACTTACGGAAAACCGGGCCTGCAGGCTGTAGCTTACTGACCGCGGCTCTAGAGGACATGAAATGAATTCTCCTGGGCAAGTTTTCCTCATGTAGGTTTGCTTGAAATGGAGCCACTCTCTTGACAGGGGCTGCCTGAAAGAGCGCACTGGCCACTAAGCAAGATGGAGATCACGTGTGGGATGGCCACAGGGACCGGTGGGGTTAGTGAAATGGCGCCAGCCCACGTCCGTCCCGGGGCCCCCACAGCGCTTCATAGCTGGAGGTGCTGTAGACGTTGACCACGGGCCCTTGGGTGACAGGGGTTGGAAGAGCCTGCCTGTGCCCTAGTCTGTGGCTGAGGAGCTCATCTGGGTACTTAGGTGGCAACATCCACGTTTCCTGTCTTCTTCCTATATGTTAATCTGAGTCTGCAGCCGAAAAGTCTAGCTGCTATATTAATTTCTGAAAGGTTGGGCCTTTGTTTGGTTCTTAGAAGTGCTGACGGAAGGGTGGATGCCAAAGGATGGCCACTTTGCATCCTGACCTCTTCCTCATTCCTGATGCCACTCCTGGTGGGCCCTAGGGAGAAATGGGGAAGTAGGAAGGTGTAGTCCCCATACTTTAAAATGAAAGCAGGCCCCTGGTGACATTCCTCTGGATAAGTGAGGGGAGGGGAGGCCTTTTAGGCACCTGCCTCATGGTATTTTTATAGCTGTGAGATTCAGGCCTGTTGAGTAGATGTTCTTTCTTACAAAGGTCATGATCTTAAAATGGTGAGTGTTCACTGTGCATTTTTTTCAACTTTTCTTTGAAACTTTTCAAATAGGATGTTGGGAGTAATCTGATTAAATGGGAAAGAGTATTCTGAAAGAGGGAAGGACAGAGAGATTTTCCTTCTGGCCTCCCTAAAAAGTGAGGTTCCCTGAGACACTTTTCTAGTTGGGAAGAACTGGCCCCCTCCAGGTGCTTGGGGACCCTCCCCCGAATATGCTTCAGCGTGGTTCTGGAGGCTCAGCCTCAGCCCCTGCCTGGGTTTCCCGTCGCTCGCTGCGTGTACCCAGCTGTGGCTGGCCCTGGGCCCAGCCCTCTGACGGGAGAGACAGTTAATTCCACTTGGTCATTTTCTTACCCCCATCTGATCAAGGCAGGTTGTGCCGTGCACTCAGTCATGCCATGGGTAAATTTCCACAAGCGATGATTAGAAACACACTTCGTCCGAGTTGGAATCATGAAAGTGCACCGTGAGCCAGCGGAGTGATGGGATGGCTGGAGGCGGGGGTTGTGAAAGCCGTGCCTGTTAGGAGCTGACAGGAAGGAAGAGGAGCGGAGATCTGCAAAGCCTTGGGGTTGCTGGCAGGGCCCAGTCCCGTCTTCCAACCTCACCTTTGTCTTTAAAGCAATGTGTGTGTGTGGAGGGGAGTCGGGGTCAGTGTCCTTACTGTCTGGCCAGGCTTGCTCTCCATCTGTCTTGTTGGTCCTCTTTTTTTTTTTGAGAGCGAGAGAGAGCACGCACACATGCACGCGAGAGCTGGGGGGATGGGAGAGGGAGGAGGAGAGTCTCAAGTAGGTTCCACGCTCAGCACAGAGCCCAACACGGGGCTCGATCGCACAACCCTGAGATCGCGACCTGAGCTGAGATCAAGAGTCAGACACATTAATTAACCAACTGAGCCACCCAGGTGCCCCGGTCTTGCTGGTCCTGACTCACTCTTTAGGAGAGACTTCTTTCCATGCCGAGTACCCCCTCTGTGCTGAGGTCTCGTCTCCTGTGTGTGAGGTGGGCTTCACTGGAGAAGGCAGGAAATCCTGAAGCAAGCTAGGCCAACACTGTGTGGTGTGAGGCCTAACTCTTCCCACACACATTTCTAGTTAACGATAAATGTCAAATTTGCTTTCCTCACTGTTCCTGTGGCTCAAATGAAATAGGTGCCTGTCCTCCAGAGAAGTGCCTCGAGTCTCACAGCGACAGCCCGGTATCTTCCTCTAGACTTCACCCCGGCTCTCCCGCTGATGACACAGAGAGGGGCAGCCGTGCCAAATGCCTGCTTGCTGGGGAGCCTGTGACAGCACTTCTGACAGGGGGGCAGCTCCTCTCCATCACGGGCGCGGGGTTTCCGGTGCCTGGCGACAGCCCGTCCGGCCCCCACCCACAGCCCACCTGCAGCAGCTGCCCATTTCCAGAGCGGGAGTCAGCCACTTCCTCAGGCCTGCCTGTGGGAGCCCTCCTGCTACATGACTAGCTCCGCAGGAAGAACAGCCCTCAGGGAGATACCTCCGAGCACAGAGCTCCCTGCCCACTAAATACAAATGCAAAGAAAAACCCCAGAAAGTCCCATGCTGATGTGAAGGTTCGACGTGGGCAGACATCCCAGTTAGAATGGCTTTGAGATCAATTATTTCAGTCTTTGAAAGGGCACCTTCCAAAAGTATTTTAATATTAGATGGCTAATCTGGGAACCACAAGGAACAGGATGGAAGATTGTCCTGAATTTAGCTGGCGGTGGGTTCTCTGGCTTGCATCTCATTCTTCCTTGTTGTTTACTAATTTGACAGTTCTCTCTGCTCCTTAGAAAGCCAGCATGAAGTAGAGGAAAACCAAAAGCTGGTCCATTTGATGGTTTGGTTGACATGGGAGGAAGATGGTGGGTGGAGGTGGGTTATTGCTCTAATATTGGCCCATGTGATGCTGTGGACTTTCTCAGTATACCTGTGCCCCCTCTTGTCACCATGTACCAGAGGCAGTTCATGACAGGGGAGGCCGCGGGTTTTCTCTCTCGGCCCTCACCCTAGCTGTGGGCTGGCCTTCGTTACTAAGCTCACAGCCTTGAGGTCTTCCAGGAACAGGGCAGCTAGACTCTCCGGTTGACTTATCTTCGAGTGACTCCTCAGGAAGGAATGTCCGCTGAGATGGTGATTCCGATTTCTGTTTAGAAAGCTTATCCTCAGTTGCTGAGAAATGAAAAAGAAAATATTCTCTGTTTTGGTTGGAGCCTCACAAAACCAAAGTTGTGCATTCTCATGCTCCCTGGGCAGTGGCAGTTAACTCACAGGCACTATTTAGGGAGCGGAGCCGAATCCTGCCGGCCTCCTGAATCGTGCTGGTGCAGAGACAAACACACAAACAAGAGGGAACTGCGCTGGCGAGGCTCACGTTTTGGAAGTAAGAAAACAGGCAGCTGTGCCAAATAAAAAACCAACAGCAATATAGAAAAAGAACCCTTCTCAGAACTTGTTTCAGAATTTAGATCAAAGTTTCAGACTGAGTTTGGAAGCTCCCATAGCTTTGCAGGAGAGTGGGAAAAAGCAGAGGGGGGACAGTGCCCCTCGTCTCTTGTCAGACGGTCAGAGGCTGGAAGAGGTTAGATGGCGCCCCCAGGGTCACGGGAGAGCAGTGGCCTGTCTCTGAGCACACGTGAACTCTGGGTTGTGGTGCGCCATGGGCTCGGTAAGGCCCGCGGCGTCCGCGTCACCCAGCGGCTTGTTAGAAATGCCACATCCTGGCTTCCACCCCTAACATCCTGAGCCAGAGCTGCATTTTATGAAAATCTCCAGACAGATGATACGTCCTGCTCCAGGTTATTGGAGAGCACCTGAGAAAAATCTTTTCCCTTTCTAGACTGTTAACAACAGAAGCTGACCAGAGGTGACAGAGGGAAGGAATCTGGGTACCCAGGGAATATCCCTTTCTTGAGGGCACACCTCTGACGTCCCTTTTGTTTCTCTTCCAGCCACATCAGCAGTGATAGCTTCCTGTGTGACTGCCAGCTCAAGTGGCTGCCCACGTGGTTAGTGGGCAGGATGCTGCAGGCCTCGGTGACGGCCACCTGCGCCCACCCAGAAGCGCTAAAGGGCCAGAGCATCTTCTCTGTGCCACCCGAGAGTTTCGTGTGCGGTAAGACTGTCTTTGTGATTGTTTGGTTTTTTTTGTTTGTTTGTTTGTTTTTTCACGAAGGGCCAGGAGGCCAGGAGGAACCCCTCCTGATGGGAGTGACTCCCGTGATCAGAGTAAACCCCAATTCCTGCTTACCAGCCGCTGGATGCAGTTGATTTCCCACTGAAACCACACATAGTATTTACTGTAGAGACACCTCATTCTGTGGTTCTTGGAGGACGTGCATTTAATCAGAAGGGAGCCCACGTTGGTTTAGTTACAAATCAGAATAATCAGTTACTGGAAGAAAGTTGTGTTGTCTCAAGACGGCTCCAGTGCCCAGGTTTAGCTGTGAATTTACTCAATGTAGGAGGCTGGGGTTTTAATGTGTGTTTCTCTCCAGCCCCAAGAATGAAAGGTTAAACACAGGAAGAACAAGTCTCAGGAGAACAGTTACTGTAGTAAAAATACTTCCTTGTTGTTGACTTGCACTCTGGCTGTTTCTCCAAACCACTGAAATCTGCACTTGTAGCTTTACACTCTTTCTTCCTTCTGATTGTTGGAGCACGGGTCTCGCCATCTTTTTGACTGAGTGGTCGGAATCCCACGTTTGGTTGTGCAGAGCATAGTGATGCTGACCAGCTGGAGACTGTGCACCACGCTCAAGCAGAAATGCGCTGCCTCGTGCTCAGTAAGATGTGGTCAGAGAATGAGAGGAGTGGTCTCTAAGCAGGAGTGAGGGTGGGATTCCCAGGCATGATGGGAGCTCCGGAGCAGGTGTGAGTCCCTCCTGCCTCTTGTCCTCCCCAGTCTGCCCCATGCCTTGGGTGTGATGGTCCTAACCAGGAGCTGCCCTAGGAGTGTGGGGACCCCCACGGTCCACTTCTCCCCCCTACTTCTTGGACAGAGCAGTAGCCAGTGTGCCTGTTGAAGTCCAAATACAGGTGCCCCCTATATTCCAGGCCCTCGCCCACCACCGCTTCCGAAAGTAGGCTTGCCCTCCTTCGTGCTGATCCAGTCCAGCAAGCAGCCCTAAGAACACCCAATGTGGTACAGCCCTCCAGAATGAGCGTTCCTTACTTTTTTTAAAGTTACTTTATTTTTTTTAATTTTGAGAGCGAGAGAGA